TAGACCAACATTTTTTACCTTTCTTTCTTTTTTTACACTTAGCTTTATTTATTTATTTAACCTGACCAGAGAGGGACAGAGTAAGAGAGTGAGAGAGAGGAAAGTGAGAAAGCAAACCACAAGGACGGGGACATGAACGATGATCATACATGTGGGAGTCCAGTGCTCCTTGCCAATTTTTAAAAATTTAACTTTATTTATTTATTCATTCTTTTTTTTTTTTTAATTTGACTAGGAAGGGACAGAGCAAGAGAGACAGAGAGAAGGAAAGTGAGAAAGCAAGCTGCCAGGTCTGGGACTTGAACCATGGTCAGCCATGGGATTCCAGTGCCCTTAATCACCACTCCACCTGCCAGCCCCAGGCCCCAACATTTTTCACCTTTTAAAAAAAAATGACTCACAGGACCAGCAGTTGGCATAATGGCTATGTTGCTGGACTCCCACATAGTTGACCGTGGTTCGAGTCCCGGACCTGGTGACTTAAACTCAGGCTGGGTCTGTGTGCATGCATGTGTGCCCAAGATCCCAAGAGGAGAATGGAGGAGAAGGGACTGCGGCTTGGCCATCCCCCCAGGGGATGATTTCTCGCTTTCTGTCTCTCTGTCTTTCTGGAAAGCGTATGCGCCCTATTACAAAAACCCTGTAAAAAAAAAAAAAAAAAAAAAAAAGAGAGAAAAAGAAAAAAAAGACTCCCTTTCCTAGAAGCCTCTCTAAATTTTTTGCCCCCCATTACTCCTTACCATAAGAAATTTTACACCACAGGTATATAATATCTGTTTATGTATTGTGGCCATTTGATAGACCACAAATCATTGGACTAGCTAAGTGTTTTTTTTTTTTTTTTACCCTCACCAAGAACCAATGGTTATGTGGCTGGACTCCCACATAGCCGACCATGGTTTGAGTCCCAGACCTGGTGGCTTAAACCTCAAGCCCAGTGTGTGTGCGTGTGTGTCCAAAATCCTGAGAGGAAAATGGAGAAGGGATTGCGGCATGGCCATTCCCGCTAGGGGGTGATTTTTCGCTGTCTCTCCGGTGAGCGTATATGCCCTATAGCAAAAAATCTCTCTTAAAAAAAAATAATAAAAATAAAAACAGAAAAACAATTTTGTAGAGAATTAATAGATTCATGGTTTAGGGCAAGGAAAGCACAAAGTGATCTTGGGGCATATTGTAACAGAAAGAAGGAGGCAATCAAGGCTGAAGAAGCTCCTACTGACTGGAATTGGAGCAATATGAACATTATAAAGATTAATTACAGGGAGGCCACAGGATATGTTGTGCATGCATGCCCCAAATCCCAACAGGATTGAGAAATGGAAAAGGTATTCCCCATGGGTAGTGCTTTCTCCCTCTTTCAGTCTCTGTCTCTCTTGGGCATGCATAGGTCCTCTGGCAATTTTTTTTTTCTTTTTTTGGAGAGGTTTTTGCTATAGACAGAGAGAGACAGAGAGACAGAAAGTGAGAAATCACCCCCCAGGGAGGATGGCCACGCCGCAATCCCTTCTCCTCTCGGGATCTTGGGCACTCACGCACATGCACCCAGCGTGAGTTTAAGCTGCCAGGTCCGGGACTCGAACCGCGGTCGACTACATGGGAGTCCAGTGACATAGCCATTATACTAACTGCTGGTCCCTCCTCTGGCAATTTTTAAAAATTAAAAAGAAAGAACATTACTATAATTGATTAATATGAACTGAATATATAAAAGTTCATAAGAGCCCATAGTGAATTTTGCAAAAAAGAAAGCAATACCAGCCAGTGGAATGGTGATTAATGTGACTGGATTCCACATGGCTGACTTCATAGTTCGAGTTCCAGACTCAGCAGCTTAAGAAACGCATCAGGTGTGTGTGTGTGTGTGTGTGTGTGTGTGTGTGTGTGTGTGTGCCCAGAATCCCTAGAGGAAAATGGAGAAGAGATTGTGGCATGGCTATCTCTTTTTTCCCTTTCTTTCTCTTTCCATGTCTCTTTCTGGAAGAGTACATAGGCTCTCTGGCAAATTTAAAAATAAATAAATAAAACAAGAATATGTGCATCTATTACTTTTTACCAGTTCTTTATTCAGAAAACTAAAGGGAAAGAAATACTTATTCTACCTTTCAGTAGGGACAATAGTCCTGTGTAATCAAATAGCTGTGTAGGAAAAGCTCTTCTTTATAGAAATATGCCAGTTAATAAATGTAGATAGATTGATAGAATTGGAAAATCACCACTTGACACCCCTAATAAAATAATTAAGGGTTAGGCTGGCAGGTGGCATGGTGGTTAAGGCACTGGACTCCCACTGCTGACCGCAGTTTGAGTCCCAGATCTGGTGGCTTGTTTTCTTACTTGCCCCCTCTGTCTCTCTCTGGTCAAATTAAAAAATAATGATAATAAATAAAATTAAATAAATAATTATTTAAAAAGTAATAGATAAGGGTCATCAATGGATACTAACACCATTAGGTGAAATATTTATGGGCAACTAGATATTCTCCCAAAGGATCACCCCAAATCAGAGGGGGAAACTATAATGGAGAGATGGTGTGAGCACCACTTTCACCCAATTAGTAAACTTAGCCTTGCTTTTAGAGGGACACTGAGACGTTAGATGCTTCCAGTATGATGAAACATAAAGTACACAGGAGTGGGCCAGCCATGGCCTGCTGGTTAAGGCAGTCAGATCCTACACGGCCTGCATGGATTAAGTCCTGGACCTAGTAGCTTGAAAAAACACTCTGGGGGGGAACCAGCAGTTAGCGTAATGGCTATGTTGCTGTATTCCCATGTAGTTGATCGCGGTTCGTGTCCCAGACCCCTTGGCTTAAAACTCACACTAGGCACGTGTGCATGCGTGCCCAAGATCCCAAGAGGAGAATGGAGGAGAAGGGATTGTGGCGTGACCATCCCCCCTGGGGGGTGATTTCTCGCTTTCTGTCATTCTGTCTCTGTCTGTCTGGTGAGCGCACGCGCCCTATAGCGAAAACCTCTCCAAAAAAAAAAGAAGAAAGAAAAACACCCTGGGCATGTGTTTATGTGAACCCAAAATCCCAAAAGGAGGGAGAAACGAAGGAGCAGGGATTTAGGGCTATAACAAAATACAAAACATGATTCATACTTGGATCTGCTATAAAAGGAATAATTGAGGATATCTGAATATAGATGAGATACTGGATGGTATTAGGGAATTAAAAAAAAAAATTTTTTTTTAGATTTCTTCCATAGAGCACCTGTGCTCGCCAGAGGGTGACAGAGAGGAAATGAGAAGTCATTCCCCAGGGAGGGGGAGATTGTCCGTGGCACAATCCACTCTCCTCCATTCTCCTCCTGGTGTGATTTTCAGGCTGCTGGATCTGGGACTAGAACCATGGTCTGCCATGTGGGAGTGCCTTAACTAAATTAGGGAGTTATTTTTAACTTTGTTCAGTTTATTGACGGTTTATGGCTGTATAGGAAATTTTTCTTATATTTTAAAGATGAGTATTTATGTATTTAGAAGTGAAATATTTATTTATAATGTATCGTTCATTTTAAAGAACTTTGGCATGAAGAAAATGGTGGAATAAACCTGCCAAAATGTTAATGTGTTAAATCTAGATAAGTGTATGGGTATTGGTTGCACTAGTCTTTCAACTATCTTTTTTTATATTTTAAGAGATTTTTGCTATAGGGTGTGTGTACTCACCAGAGAGACAGAAAGTGAGAAATCACCACCGGGGGATGACCATGCTCCAATCCTTTCTTCTCCATTCTCCTCTTGGAATTTTGGGCATGAACACACATGTACCCAGCATGAGTTTCAAGTTGCCAATTCCAGGATTCAAACCACAGATGGCCACATGGGAATCCAGCACTTTAACCACTATACCACCTACTGGGCCACAACTACTTTTGAAAAAAAAATATGTTTAGAGGCTGACAGGTGGCATGGTGGTTGGGGTACTGGACTCCCAAATGACTGACTACAGTTTGACCCTGACCTGACAGCTTGCTTTTTCACTTTCCTTCTCTCTGTCTGTGGTCAAATTAATAATAATAATTATTATATAAAATTAAATAAATAATTCTTTTAAAACTATATATTTGAAAATGTTCAAAAAAAGAGAAAGGAAATATTCATAATATATAGTTTTAAAAATTGGGTACAGTTAGTCCTATACCATGGTTGCTAAGCCCTGTGCGTAGGGAGCTAGACCCCACAGAGCCAACTGTGGTTCAAATTCTGACCCTAGTGGCTTTAAAAACATTCTGGGTACATTCGTGTGTGTGCCTCAAATCCTGAATACACAAATGGAAGAAAAAGAATTGCAGCATGACCACCACCTATTAGAGTGCTTTCTTTCTTTTTGTTTCTCTCTCTGTCTCTTGCGAGCACATATACTATCTGGCAATTTAAAAAGACTTAGATGGGGACCAGCAGATGGCGTAGTGATTATGTTGTTGTACTCCCACATAGTCGACTGCAGTTCAAGTTTCAGACCCAGCAGTTTAAAAGTCACGCCAGGCACGTGTGCATGTGTGTGTGTGTGTGTGTGTGTGTGTGTGTGTATGTGTGTGTGTGTGCCCAAAATCCCAAGAGGAGAATGGAGGAGAAAGGATTGCAGCATGGCCATCCACCCTGAGGATGGTTTCTCGCCTTCTGTTTCTTTCTCTCTCTGGCAAATGCACGTGCCCTGTAGCAAAAATCTCCCTTTCTCCATTCTCCTCTCGGAATCCTGGGCACACACGCACACATGCCCGGCATGAGTTTAAGACACCGGGTTCAGGACTCAAACTGCAGTCAACTACATGGGAGTCCAGTGACAGAGCCATTATGCCAACTGCTGGTAGCACAAAAATCTCTAAAAAAAAAAAAAAAGTTGGATAAAGAGTCTGTAAGAAATACTATTTCTCAGTCTTTGGAAGGGTAAGATGGCTTTGGCTTATGTTAAGAACTTATGGCTCTTGGATTCTTGCTCATATGCCGTTTTTTTTTTTTTCTTTTCTTTTTTCTCCTCCATCTCCCCCCCATCCAGCTCTCTTTGACTCTATGCACAGCAACCAGGCCTCAGATAGCCCATTTTCCCCACCCCGTGCTCTTCATTCACCTCCCCTGCAACTCCGGCAGCGCTCTGAGAAGCCCCCTTGGTGTAAGTAATCCTGTTGAAATGGTTTAAATAAAGGGCAAGAAGGATGGAGGGCTTGGTAAATGAGGGATGTCACATGAAGAAAAAGAAGGTGGGGACCAAGAATAGCCATTCAGGGAAACAATCTCATTCACTGTTCTGAGATAAGAGGATCTGCTTATTCTCTCTTCATCTCTGCCTTCAATGCTCCCTCTATCTCACTAGAGAAGCTCTAAAGGATAGTGACCCAAAGGGCCCTTTTGGGGGAAAGAGAAGATGGAAACTTTGGTCTCAGATTCCCATTTGGTCCCTACAGCTTTCCCTAGTAAAGATGACTAGGAGGCAATGTCAATACTCTTGTCCTTTGATATTCATAGGGGATTGTTCCAGGATCTCCCCCTGCTGAATACTTAAATCTCTCAAATCCACTGATGCTCAAGTCTCATATAAATTGGCATAATATTGCATATAATCTGTGCACATCTTCCTATATACTTTGAACCATCCCTAGATTACTTATAAGTAACCTTAGCATCACATATAAGTGAAAGGAAAACACACATTTTGTAACTATTGGCATGGCCTGGCTGCATTGGTGCTTGGCTGAATCTGTGGCTGTAGTACCATGGATAGGGAAGTCCAACTGTATCTAGAGAAGCTGGGATCAGGAAGTGAGACTCTACCATTGATTTCTTTTCTTTTCTTTCTTTTTAAGGTTTTTGCCATAGGGTATGTGTACTTGCCATAAAGACATAGAGAGAAGGAAAGTAAAATCACACACACACACACACACACACACACACACTCCAGTGGGAATGGCCATTTCATAATCCCTCTCCCATTCTCCTCTTAGGATTTTGAGCACACATGTGCACACACACACACACACAGTGTGAGTCTCAAGCCACAAGATCTGGGACTCAAACCTTGGTTAGCCATGTAGAAGTCCAGCACCTTAACCACTATGCCACCTGCTGCCCCTACTATTGATTTCTACATGTTTCTTTTCTCAAGTTTTCTACTCTCAGTTAAGTTTTCAAGTTAAAGTGCTACTTTTTCTTTATCTTTGTTCTAAATAATTATTTGTTTTCATCTTATTTATTATTATTATTATTTATTTTTGGTAGAGAGAGATGTTTTTGTTATAGGACACGTGTGCTCACCAGAGAGACAGAAAGCGAGAAATCACCCCCCAGGTAGGATGGCCAAACTTCAATCCCTTCTCCTCCTATTCTCCTCTTAGGATTTTGGGCATGCAGGCACACATGCCCAGCGTGAGTTTTAAGCCACCAGGTCCGGGGCTCAAATCGCAGTCGACTACTTGGGAGTCCAGTGATGTAACTGTTATGCCATCTGCTGGTCCCAGATTATTATTATTATTTTAATACTGATGAGGAAAAAAAAAATCATTTCCTTATCATCCTGCCTCAAATCAAACATGTTTTTCATTATTTTACTTGTATTAAACTGAAGCTAAGATTTATATTTCAGCAGTGGGGTGAACAGTTGTAAAATTTTGCCCTTCTTCTGGTACTCTGAATCAGAAAGAAATATTCTTCTCTGATTCCAAGATTTCTTCCCCTAAATTTCAGAGTATCCTACGATCACTTTGCCATTGCCCCTTTACCTCGCTCCTGTAGTATTTACAAGTTCCATGTTTTCTACAAATCATATTCTTCTCCCTCTTTTGTTTCTGTCTGGCCTCTTTGATGTACCTGAGTCAGATCACTAGCTGGATATTAGGACTTCTATTCGAGGGTAAAGCTTAACTTCCATGTTCTCTCTCTCTCTCTCTTTTTGCATCCAGTATCAGAACTTTGACTCAGTTTTAGGCATGTAGCCTCACTGGTAAACATCTTTAAGGTCTATCTGTATAAGAAATAGGCTCCATATTTCTAAAGCCTTGTTGGCCCAAAACCATATGCATTTTTGTTTGTTTTGTTTTTGTTTTTCCTACTTGAAGCACACCTCCAACTGATCCTCCAGAGGACATAATTAGCATAACTTAAACTCAGACTGAGCCTTTGCAGGCTCAAACTTTCCACTTTTCTCAAGTTCTCTCTGATGACAGAATACTCAAGTGTCCCGTTTCTCGAGTCTACCATTACTGATACTGTAGTGCTTTAATATGAGAAGTCTTCAACAAAAAATTCATGGAAGATGCATATCATGAAAAAGATATGATTTTTAAAAGATATGAAAATTTCAAGAATTTCTGGATCAAAATAAATTCATGCTTTTTTTTTTTTCCTTAGAGGTTTTTGCTGTAGAGTGTGTGTGCTTGCCAGAAACATAGAGACGGAGAGACAGAAAGCAAGAAATCACCCCCCAGGAGGAATGGCCACACTGCAATCCCTTCTCCTTCAGTCTCCTCTCAGGATCATGGGCACACACGCACACACACCCAGCATGAGTTTAAGCCACCAGGTCCAGGACTTGAACCATGGTCGACCACGTGGGAGTCCAGCGACCTAGCCATTATGCCATCCGCTGGTCCCAAAATAAATTCATGCTTTTATTTTCCACAAGGTTTTGAAAGTCCTACTGTATATAGTTATAATTACCATCAATATGTATGATATTTACAGAGGACAGAGTAGTTTGTCCTGTAATAGAGGTAAATGAAGTAGAGATTGTGGTAGGAATCATCCACACAGTAACTGAAGACTTTGAGGTCTTCATTACATTACTGTCAGGATCTGGGAAATTCCTTTTTATGTTTTCTATGTATATAATATGCACAAATCTGTAACACTGTATGTCCAAAGACTTAGAGGGTCCTAACTTTGGATATATGAATGGATATCAGTGTGAGATTATAAGCTCCAGCAATCATATAAATGGTCTTCCAAAAGTTCATGGAAAATGTGTATTATAGAAAAACTCTATGAATGGATTCCAAAGTTTTTGTACCAAAATGAACTCAACTTGATTTCCATTTTCCCATGAACTTTTGAAGTCCCCACATATACAAAGATTAGTGTGAATATCTTTATGTACATTTTTTCTTTGAAATAATCCATGGTTTTCATTAGCTCCTCAAAGAGAGTAGTGATCTCCAGAATGATTCATTAAAAGCTTCTGCCATTTGGAGATTCCATGGCAGTATTCCCATCTTTAGGTAAATAATTTTCTTTCTATTATTCTGATTTATAAAGTTTATCTACACTCTCTTGCATACTTATCTCTTGGGCTATGCACACTGATTCCTTCTGTCTCAAAAATACATTGATTGCTTTAAAGAAAGAATCTAGGGTGCCAGCAGGTGGTGTGGTGGATGATGGTGCTGGATTCCCATATGGCCAACCATGGTTCAAGTCCCAGACCTGGTGACTTGATTTCTCACTTTCCCTGACAATAACAAATGGAAATAAATAAATAATTCTTAAAAAAAAAAAAAAAAAAGA